GCATCAGTACCGACAACATCATCAGCATCATCACAATCATCAGCATCATCAGAATCAGCATCGCCATCATCATCATCATCAGCATCAGCAGCATCGTCATCATCAGTATCAGCATCAGCATCATCATCCTCATCATCAGCAGCGGCATCATCAGCAGCAGCATCACCATCAGCAGCAGCATCAACAGCATCACCAGCAGCAGCAACAGCATCAGCATCATCAGCATCATCATCATCAGCATCATCATCAGCATCATCATCGTCGTCGTCGTCGTGATCGTCAGCCTCATCATCATCATGAGCATCATCATCATCGTCATCATCAGCTTCTTCTTCTTATTCTTCTTCATCATCATCATCATGATCATCATAGCCATCATCAGCAGCATCATTATCAGCATCATCATCACCAGCATCACCAGATGATCATCGTCGTCATCAGCATCGCCGTCGTCATCATCATCGTCAGCTCCGTCATCCTCATCATCAGCATTAGCATCAGCATCATCATCATCATCGTCGTCATCAGCATGAGCATCAGCATTATCATCATCGTCATCATCAGCAGCATCATCAGCAGCATCACCATCATCATCGCCACCACCACCACCATCGTCATTATCATCGGCATCATCAGCATCATCATCGTCATCATCATAATCGTCAGCGGCACCATCATCATCAGCGACGTCACCATCATCATCATCATCAGCATCATCATCATCATCATCAGCGTCATCATTAGCACCATCACCATCGTCAGCATCAGCATTCGCATAATCATCAACAACATCAGCATCATCACCACCACCACCATCATCAGCATCATCATCATCATCATCATCATCATCATCGCCACCACCATCATCAGCTGCAGCAGCAGCATCATAATCATCGTCGCCAGCAGCAGCCACAACAATATCATGATCATCATCATCATCAGCATCATCGTCATCATCAGCATCAGCATCAGCATCATCAGCATCTTCATCATCAGCAGCATGGTCATCAGCAACAGCATCAGTATCACCATCACCGTTTTCATCGTCATCATCATGATTGTCATCGTCATCGTCATCTTCATCATCACATATGCATTACTATCAGCAGCATCAGAATCCATCGTCATCGCCATCATCATCACCGCCACCGCCACCATTATCACCATCATCAGCATCATCATCAGAATCAGCATCATCAGCATCATCAGCATCATCATCATCAGTATCATTATCATTATCATTACTCTCAGCCACATCTTCATCCTTATCATCATCCTCATCCTCATCCACCTTCTCATCCTACTCCTCATTATACTCCTCCTTTCCTCATCTTACTCTACTGCCTCCCTGCAAAATCCTCATCCTCCTCCTCCTCGACCATCTCCTCGACATGACCACCATCATGCATCACTCATCACTTCTGACTCCTGACTCCTCACGCTCCCATTCCTCACCCCAAGCCCTTCGTTCCTTCATTCCTCCTCATCATCCCTCATCCTTCCCCATTCCTCATTCATCCTTCCCCTTGCTCCTCCTCATCCTTCCCCTCGCTCCTCCTCCTCCTCCTCCTCCTCCTTATCCTCCTCATCCTCCTCCTCCCCCTCCTCCTCCTCCTCCTCCTCCTCCTCCTCCTCCTCCTCCGCTGGCGCGCCTCGTCATCGTCCTCGCCCGCGGAGCCCATCACCTGCGCCCGAAGAAACGGCGGCAGAGGAAGCGTCGACCGGGGGGCCTCCGATAGGCTCGGACGAAAGGAGGGGTAGCAAAGGGGGGGGCTATAGTCGAAGCGATGTCAGAAGGAACCCTGAATCAGGAACGAGGCCCCTTTCTTCCATAAAGTAAACTTCGACTTCCCATAGAAAACCTGAAGAAGACCTAAGACAAACTGTAAAACTGGCAACCACCCGCAAGCAACGAGACAGAATCGAATGGAAGGGGGCTGAAACCGCACCCATTGATGAAGCCACGATTCTGTCGCAGCTTGCTGAACGCGCTGGCCCGAGAGGCAACGGGGGGGCCGGTCACCAGCGGCGAACCTGTCCGCATCCGCGCCCTCGCGGCCTGGACTCTGGGGCGCCCTCCCGCGGGCACGCGGGCGCGCGGAGGCGCTCTGCCACTGCGGCCTTCGGTGGAGCTCCAAGTGGGGCCACGAAACTTGTGAGGGATGTGCCGAAATGGGCGCGGTGGGCGCATGTGAACGCAGCCACTGCGGCCTTCGGTGGAGCCCCCTATGGGGCCACGAACCGTGCGAGGAGTGTGCCGAACTGATGATGATGGTGATGATGATGATGATGATGATGATGATGATGATGATGACGATGATGATGGTGACGGCGATGCTGATGATGGGGAGAGGGAGGGGGGGCAGAGGGAGGAAGGACGCGGGCGTTGTCTGTTCAAATCGAGGACCCAACACCACAGGATGGTTGGGAATTATAGAAAAATCGCCCCCCAGCTATTCCTTGACTACTTTTGAAAAGTCTTCCAGAAGAAGGCCACGCCCGACTTGAACCGAGGCCATGCCGAGGGGCCCACCGAAGCCACTAAATCGAAAGCGGGGGGCCACCGCCCCCGCGCAGAGGAGCCCGCGGCGCCCCGCCCGCCGGGCCCGCGCAGGGCCTCGGAGAGACCGCCCTCGCCGCCGCGCGGCCAAAACACTGCCTTCCCTGAGATCCGACGCTCCAAAAAAATTGGAGCGGCGGGATTTGGCCCGCTTTCAGCCTCTGGGGGCCCCCGCCGGGCCTCGGGGGCGCCCGGAAACGCCTCGAGAAAAACAGGCCCCGGGGAAGCGACCCGGACCTTTGGGGCCCACGCGCCAAGAAAGTTGGCGCAGTCAGATGTCTGGGCCCCAGGCCTCAGAGAAAAAGCGAACGCACATGCCGCATTCATCGGTCAACGCCCCCCCACCCCCCAACGCTCAAAATTGACGGTGCGGTACCAATGAGTTCCGCTTCGACCGCAGCCCCCTCCGCGCGTGCCAATCTTGAGTTTGAGGGGGCGGGGGGGCGTCCACTAACTGTTTCCCCCAACCTCCTCATTGCAAGAATCTCAAGAAAATCTGAGCTTGAGGGGCCTCATGGGCCATCCTGGAGCCCTCGCGGGCCGAGTTCGGGGCTTCTCTGGTCATCTGAAGCAACGTTGGACGGAGGTTACAAACATGGAAACTGCTAGAACACATGGAAACCGAATGGGACATCAATGAACGCTGCGACCCGGAGCCTGCTCGGGGCATCTGAGGCCATCTTAGAGGCCTCTTGTGCCACTTGTTTTTGCTTGTTTGCGTCCAGCGCGCCCACGATCCACACTCGCCAGTGCTACTCGTCTCAAAGCCGAAATGGTTCACACTTCAAAAGCACGCGCGCATGTCATACAGGGGAGGCAACGAGGCAACGTGTCTCCTTGAGAGACATCTGCAATACCACTTATTAGTTGAAAATGGCTTTGGGGAAACTGCGACAAAGGTAACTCTGATCTGCCTCGCCTCCAAACAGATACACAGCGTAATGGCAAGCGCTGCCACTCTGAAGCTAGATGTGCGGCTGTAGCAAAATAGCTGGTGAACTTGACCGGAAAATAAAGTTGCGTAGTTAACAATCACGCTCGACCCCTCATCCAGCCAACCAACTCCTCTGCCCCTCCCCCCCCACCCAGTCTACATCCCCGTCACATGTATGCTCGCTGCCTCTAACTGTCAGCCTCGCACACTTGCTAGAACGCACGTGAGGAAATGCGCCGGCAGGATGCAGCAGCCTTGGGCAGACAATAGCTGCGAAAGCTACAAACTGTAACTTGAGGCGTATGAGTTCAGCTGCGGCGACGCATGCAGCAACGCAGGCACATCGCAAGACGAGTCCGGTAATGCTAAGCTGCTAGCAGCAAGAGATTGCACAGGGCGCCCTTGTAACATAGAGTTTCTTACCATGGCTTCGGCGAATCCAACCTTTCTTGTTCAGCATCCACCTGCTGCTGCAAATGCGTGGTGTAGGGCGGCATGAATGACATGACCTTCTGGATAATGTCCGCCGACCCCTTGTGGGTCTCTAGGCGTGTGAGATAGTTCCCCCCCCCATAATCCCCCCAAGGGACCCCAAACCGGAGATTTGACCCCCCCCCCCTCGCCCCGGACGAGCGCATCACGAAGCTTTTCCGGGCCCACGAGGGCCTCAAGACGGGCCTAGAAAGCCCCAAGAGGCCTCCAAAACAGCCCACGAGGGCCCCGAGACGCTAAACGAGCGCTCCAAGACGCCCTAGCTGGCCCAAAGATGGCCTCAGAGGCCTTCAAGACGGCCCAAGAGATCCCCAAGAGGCCCCAAGAGGCCTCCAAGATGCGTCCCAAGAGGGTCCCTAGACGCAACAAGTTGCCCATTCCCTTCGTAAAGCATACAATTTTCATACATTCGCCTTCCGGGCTTTCCGATGCTCTCAGAGGGCCCAAGAGGACCCCAATACCGCCCCAAGACGGCCCAAGAAGCCTCCAAGAGGGTCCCAAGATGACCCAAGCGGGCCCCAAGACAGCCCAAGAGGCGTCCAAGACAGCCCAAGAGGGCCCCGAAGACGACCCCAAGAGCGCTCCAGGAGCGCTCCAAGTCGCCTCCCAGAGAGCTCTATATGGTCCCAGACGGTCCAAGAGCGATCAAAGACACCGAAAATGGCCTCCAGCGGTCCAAGATGCCCCCAAGAGGCCCCAAGAGGCATCCAAGATACGTCCCAAGAGGGCCTCTAACCGCAAAAATTGGCCCGTTTCCTTTGTGAAACGTAGATGTTTCACAAGTTCGCCTTTTGGGCTTTCCGACGCTCCTAGACGGCCCCAGAGGCCTCCAAGACCGCCCCAAGACGGTCCAAGAAGCCTCCAAGAGGGCCCCAAGACAGCCCAAGAGGGGCCCAAGACGGCTCCAGAGGCGCCGAAGACGGCCCAAGGGAGCCCTGAAGACGGCCCCAAGAGCGCTCCAAGAGCGCTCCAACTGGCTTCCAAGAGAGTTCCACATGGTCCCAGACGGTCCAAGAGCGATCAAAGACACCCGAGATGGCCTCCAGATGGCCCAAGACGCCCCCAAGAGGCCTCCAAGGTGCGTCCCAAGAGGGTCCCTAGACGCAAAAAATTGCTCATCTCCTTCGTAAAACGTATTTGTTTTACACATTCGCCGTGTGGGCTTTCCGACGCTCCAAGACGGCCCAAGAGGCCCCGAAGACCGCCCCAAGACACCCCAAAAGAACCCCCCAAGACGGCCCCACGACGGCCTAATATGGCCCCAAGACGGTTCAAAAGGGCCCCAAGACGGCCCAAGAAGGCTCCCAGACGGCACCAAGAGGAGCCGAAGAGGGCGACCAAAAATTCAGAATTCTACTTGTCCGCCCCAGGGAGCCCCAGGGAGCCCGAAGAGTGCCCCAAGAGGCCGCCAAAGGCCCCCAAAAGGCGGCCAAAACGCCCCAAGGAGCTCCCAAAAGGCCCCCAGGAGGCCCCAAAAAGACTCCCAGAGCCTCCGAAACGGCTCCCAAGTGGCGTCAAAACTGCCTTCCAGAGGCTCCCGAGAGGCGCGCCGCGAGAACCCGATACACATACAAGCAGCCTCCAACCCATAACCCATAACCCAGAGCCTCCTCTCTGTGTCCCCCTCCTTCTCCTCCCCCTCCTTCTCCACCTCGGCCCCCTAGGCTCCCGAGAGGCGGCGTCAAAACTGCCTTCCAGAGGCCCCCGAGAGGCGCGCCACGGGGCTTTTCCGGCCGCAAGAAGACGGGCCAAGAAAGCCTTAAGAGGCCTCCAAGACGGCCCACGAGGGCCCCGAAACGCCAAACGGACGCTCCAAGACGCCCAAGATTGCCCCAAAAGGGCCAAGAGACCTCCAAGACGGCCCAAGAGATCCCCAAGAAGCCTCCCAAGAGAGCGTCGATAGGTAAAAATTAATGATTTTCCATTGTGGTTTTCCTATGTGTCTTGCCTTTGCGTCTTTTCGGCTTGCGGGCTCTTCAAGACGGCCCAGGAGGCCCCGAAGACCGCCCCAAAACCGCCCAACAGGCGCCCAAGGCGGCCCCAAGACGGCCCAAACCCAAGATGGCCTCAAGACGGCCGAAGAGGCCCCCAAGACGGCCCCAGAGGACTCCAAGACAGCACCATGAAGAGCCCCAGAGGGCCACCAAAAATCTACAAAATCTAGCTTTCCGCCCCCAGGAGCCCCCGGGGGCACCAAAAAAACACCCCTGGGGGGCCAAAAAGGCCCCAAGACGGCCCACGAGGACGCCAAAGCAGCCCAAGAAGAGCCCAAAGAAGCCCAAGAGAGCTCGAAGACGAGCCCAGGAGTAGCCGGAACAGCCCCAAAGATGCCCCCCTCAGGCCCCGAAGAGCTCCCAAGAAACCCGACAAAAAACCCAAAACGACCGCCAAACGGTTTCGAACCATCTGATCATTGAGTTCAATTAAGGGGTCGGCGGATGTGGCGTAAGCCTGAAGAATGTGGCGTAAGCCTAAAGAGTTTCAGAGCCAACTTCATGTCAGATGTGTAGCGACGGCAAGGTTGCAAAAGCTCGTGTTTAAGCTTACGTTCCAGCTCATCAGAGCCCCAAGCTATCTCCATGAGATGCCTTTTCCCGTACACCTTTCGCCGTTTGCTTACATGGAACTCTCTTTGAAACGTCACTTCTACACCGTGTTCCCACGCATACCATTTTGTCACAAGTTCCTTGTCATCAGGG